TGTAGATCACCTGTAGTTAAAGAATTAACGACGGTTTCCACCGCATGAAACTGGCAATATAATGATAGTTGACGTACTCGAGCATGTTCCGGTTCATCCATGGTCAAGGAACGAAGAGCGACTTCAGGAAGGTTGACTGCACCTAAAGTTGTGCCTTCGTTGACATATCTCACTAAAGCGTCTCCCACCTCCACACCAATAGCACGCTGCGCTTCTTCAGTGCTACCTCCGATGTGAGGAGTAAGGATCACGTTCTTAAGGCTTCGAAGATCCGCTGCCCAGTTGTTAAGGTCGCTATTGAAGTAGTCACCATTTCCAGCAGGTTCGTTCGGGTAGACATCAAGTGCAGCCCCGGCCACCTTGCCAGACCGCATCGCGTGGATCAATGCCGGGATGTCAACGACACTTCCTCGACTAGCATTAATCAAATAACTGCCGTCCCGCATTTGTTCAAACTGGCGTTGTCCTATCATGTTTTTTGTTTCCGGAAGTTCCGGCACATGGCATGTGACGAAGTCTGACTGGGAAAGTAGACTTTCTAGAGTAGGAACCTGACGGGCAGTGCCCAGTGCCATCAGATTCACCACATCATAGTAAAGAACTGACATGCCCATGGCCTCCGCTAGAACCGATAGCTGGGAACCAATATGGCCGTAACCAATTATACCTATCCACAAAAGTCAACTGAGTTTTCCTACCAAGACGATACATAATACATACCCAATGTCTTCCCACGTATCTCCCAGCACTTGTTACTTACTTTGTTCCAAGTGCCATTGTGCATCTCGTTAGACCGGTCACCGAGTTGCCGAGCTAGTGCAATAATCTCAGCAATAACCAACTCAGCAACGCTTCGAGAGTTGCTGAATGGAGAGTTGAATACAGCAATGCCGTGTTCTGCAGCGTATTGGAGGTCTACTTGGTTTGTTCCAATACAAAAACAGCCGATGACTATAAGGTTCCGAGCCTCTTTCAGAATACGAGCTGTGAGCTTCGTCTTCGAACGTATACCGATGACGTGCACATCTCTTGAAGGACGGTTAGTGCACTATACCAAAGTATGGAATATCAATGCTGGCTTCGACTCACCGAATCTTTTCTATGAGCTGGTCTTCAGGAAGCGATGACTTTAGAAATTCTACTTGATAGCCTTGCTTTGTAAGAATATCTCGCCCCGTTTGATTTACATTCTCCAAAAGAAGAACCTTTATATCTTCAGTAGCGAATGGCTTCAAATGCTTGGCATTGGGCAAAGGGATCGTGCGGTTGGTGAAAACAGAGTTTCCATGACTGGAAGGGCCGGACTGAAACGATGCGTTGGGAGAAAGGCTTGAGGCTTGATGACTGTTGATTTCTTGGGGAATGGCTGACATTGTGCCAAGATGATCAAGACTTAAAATAAGTCAGGTAGAAGATATCAAGTGGTGAAGGGAATGTAGGAGAGACGGGTAGTTGAGAGTATTGGATATGGAATGGGAGAAGTCGTTGTATTTCATATGTAAATTGGGAGACTCCGGGACCGGAGGCCCACCGTGAAATCCCTCTGACACACTTTTCTCTTTAGCTCTTACTTCTTTTAAAATTTTCTATCTTTTTTTTTCGTTTTGACTCATCGGAGATATGGGTGTAGTGGACCGCCAACATGGAGGGGTAAAAGGCGGGACCGACCCAAACCCCACTCTAAAATGAGCTGGTCGATTTAAATTTCTCTTCCACTCTTTCGCAGCCCTTTCATACACTAACATAGGGTATAATCCTATTCTCATCTACTTGACATATTCAAATATGGAGAGGTATTACCCCTAATTTTCGCTGTTATAGATTGAAATCATGTACAGTTAATTCTATTACCATTTGACGCGAAAGAAACTCATCCTATCTACCTTCTACAAATAGTCTACATGCTAACATGTTCTCGTCTCACAACACCATGCAATGAGATTTGCCATTGTCTCCATTGCTGTAGATATCATTCCAGATAGAGCAGTAACTTTTCAGAGCCTTTGGCACTCACACCCGTAAATCCTGTATCTTCTTTGTGGCTTCTTCCGCACCACTTGCTGCCTTAGAACTCTGCTTGCCCTTAGCTTTCTGGGAAGTGCTATCCTTCGGGAGTTCCTTGGTATAAGGGAGAAACTCCGGGGCACCTGGGATGTATTTCCGAAGGGGCTCTGGCACAATAAATCCCTGTAATATATGTATGTCAGCCAGTTTTTGAGAATTGAGTCAATATCAAAATAACACGTACATCCTCCTTTTGATAATTCTCAAGAATACAGCAAAGCGTCCGCTCAGTAGCACACAGCGTAGCATTCAAAGCATGAACATACGACTTCTTAACATCTGTCGCTTTCTTAGTGCCATACCGAATTTCCAAAGCCCGAGCTTGATAATCTGTGCAGTTGGAGCAAGAAACAAGCTCCTTGTACTCTCCTTGAAATGGGAACCAGGCTTCGAGGTCGTATTTCTTAGACGCCGCATTGTTTAAGGCTCCGGACACAATGGCAACTATCTGATAGGGAAGCCCAAGAGATTTGTAGAACTCTTCCGATGTAGCCATCATCTCCTCGAAAGCTTCCCATGATTGTTCCGGTTTGGTAAGGACAAATTGCTCGATCTATGCCTCAATGAGAAACGGAACTTTAGGACGTGCTGTGATACTCCTTACTTTCTCAAACTGATGGACGCGGAAAATACCCCAAGCGTCTTTACCATGAGCTCCTGCTTCTTTGCGGTAGCATGTGCTATATCCAGCATACCTGTCTCTTGATTAGCTAAATTATTAAAATGTACTCGCCCCACTCACTTGATTGGGAGATCCTTGTCCTGGAGCCATTCACCATCATGCAAAGCTGACAACGGCTGTTCTGAAGTGGCGATGAGGTATTTATCTGTAGATTTGTCCTCACTTTCTGTTACTTTATACAATTCCTCGTCAAATTGCTCAAGCTGGGCTGTTTTTGCCATCATGTCCTTCAGCATGAATTGAGGCGGCTGGTTCGGCTTATAACCCTTTCCCCAAAGGAATTCCAAGCCGTAGTTGATCAGTGCAAGATTTAAGAAAAGTCCATACCCAGTCAAGCAGTATCCACGGTGGCCGACAACCTTGACACCACGTTCGGGGTCGTAGCCGTCAAGGCGAGTGAGAACTTCATGATGAGAAAGGCAATCGCGCTTCTCGACAGTGACATTCCCGGGCACCCATGTCTTAACAACTACATTATCGTCCTTATGGCGCATGTCAGTTCCTTTCCCAAACGAAACTTTTGGTGGGTGATAGACACCTACTTCGTTATTGCTCACAGGGACCGAATCATGCACATAATTACCAATTGTTCGAAGTTTGCTGTCTCTTTGCTTTTCCTTTTGAAGAGCAAGGTCTTCGGCTTCTTTCTTGCGTTGTTCAAGCGCAGCTTTCTCTTCCAGAAGAGAACTTGCATCTTCCTTGTTCTGTTTGGGGGGCGGTGTTAAATATTAGTATGAATTTGATAGCAGCAGAAGGTTGGGAGAAAGAACAAATATACTTGTAGCCATGCGTGAGACAGACCTTTTTTTTCTTCCCAATTTCCTTTTGAAGTCCATTAATCTGGGAGCCTATCTGCATGACTTCGTACCGTGCTGCAGCGTGTTTCAGAGTCTGCTAACCTTCTTCGGTGAAACAATGAAATCTTCGAAAAACGTACCTCGGCGGGCTTCTTCATATAGTGTAAGAACTTCATCGACGACATTTTCTGGAGCAAATCGTTTCCGCTGACTCTCCTTGACCTTGTTTGGGTTTCCACCGCGGTCACTGACGAAGTCAGCAATATCGAGCATCTTGTAGGAACTGAAGGCGTAAGTCTAAAAGAATGGTCGGTTGACTGGCCCTAGCAGGTTAGGCTCTCAGATTCGGCAATGTAGAGTGAATGAACAGGAGCCCCAGAGGTCCTAGTCTTGGTCACGGTCAATGTGAGGGGTAAAATCTTGGGTGGCCTCGAGCCATTAGGGCATAAACTATGCATGGAAGTAATTTAACTCTCATGAGGGGCAGTGGCTTAATCAGCAGAATTGACTAAATTTTTACTAGTACGTCCTCTGGATAGGACCCCTAGGCCTGGTCTGGTATAGTCCGCCATTGAGACATACTTTAGAGTTGGTCAGAAAAACTCGCCGTTTAAGCTAAGCACCCAGCAGATTTTCACTTTTGATACCTCACCCAGTTCTCCAGAGTTATGCAACCCCCATCACAAGTTATTAGTGGATATGGAGGTTTACAAAACCCTCAGTGGCAGTTGCATCCGAAAAGCAGAGATCCCCAGGCCTGCACAGTGTCTTTCCATATGATGCGTAATTGTTTCAGAAAATACTTCTATTTAGTGTCTCCGCTGCCCATGTTCTATTTAAGTGGAATGCCAATTTCAGTGCAAACTAGAATAAAAATCTCATTGGTCTAAGATTTAGGTATCTTGCTTGTGATATGGAACCTGTTAGTTCCTGGGGTGGGTCGGTTCTACCATCCCTATTCTTCGCTCTGCGAGCAACTCCTGTTGCCACGTAAAACGGCAAGCCAAAAAGTTCCTTCCCCCGGGATTGGAGGGAAGCGGGTGAATCTTCCGATAGGTCTTTTATAAGGAATCAGATAGCAAGTACATGCCGACTTCATCCATAAAAATCTCGAGCCCGTACTTATCTATTCTATTAGTCGCCATATATTTAGCTTGAAACATCCATTATCTCCAAAGACATGGCTATTAAAAGAGACAATGAGATTGAGGAACGCCACAAAAGTAATAGAAGATGGGGTAGAGAAAGTGGTTGTATAAGGAGACGAATAGGGAAGCGTCGGGGTAGGAAGAAGGGCAAAGGTTGGAAACAAAACAAACTTCAAGCTGCGTACTCCGCAGGGAGCTTAGAAAAAAATTGTCTTCATCACACCATTGCAAAACATTCCGTCCGCGAGCATATAGTGAGCACATGAGACTTCCCTTCGTTGTCTCGCAGCAACCGGCAGTCAGTGGAAGCAATTTGGGTTCTATGCTTATTCACGTTGCTTCAGTTTCCATATCACATTACAACACACTTATTTCCTCCTGTGGGCTGCGACGGATTTTGAGACTTCTCGATCTCCCCTATCATTAAATCGAAGGCTTTCTCGACATTGTAACCAAGACGGGCGCTAGCCTCGGTAAAAGCACAATGGAAGTCTTCTCCTAAGCCCCGGCCTTCGTCCAATGATACTTGACGTTGTTCGGATTTCAAATCACTTTTGTTTCCGACGACCACAAGGGGCACATAATCGGCTCCCTATCGTCTAATCTCAGTTTCTAAAGTAAACAAAGGGATCGGCGTCGGCCGCCCAACACTCACAAGGTGATTTAGTATCTTGTCTCGAATGACCCTCACCATATCGAAAGACTGGCGAGACGCCACCGAGTAGACAATGATATACCCATGAATTCCAATAAAATGCTTAGAGTTCAAGATACTGTACTCATCCTGATTCAACATTAGCTTCTAGAAGGACACTTCGCTACCATTATCCTTACTTGACCAGCTGTGTCAACAATCTCCGTTGCAAAATCTTGGCCGTTGTACTTGATGATTCGACTAAACGTGTTCTCGATAGTCGGATAATAACTTTCTACAAAATGATGCTCAACAAATCGAACTGTAAGGGAAGATTTACCTATAGGCTCTGTCAGTGACCAAGACTCCGCACAGATAACAGCTAGTTCAGCACAAAAGTGGAGGTCCTCGTCCTATACATACCCACAGACCGACTACCAACGATAGCTATCTTTCGCTGCTTTGGTGCAGTAGGCATTTCCACAGATTATAATAATCTGGGGAACAATAATCCGCTAGGATAATATAATTCGCTATCAGAAGAAATATATATCCCGCTACCAAGGATTGCGTGTCTCTATAGCCGCGGCGAAAGGGGTGTCCGAACCAGGTCTCAACCAGTAACACGAAAGCACCGATAGCAGGGAGCTCGCCGAAATAGAACTTTGAGTGGAAACCAAAACAATTGTATTCGGGTTAGAGGCAGCGTTTGATGATGAACAACAGAGTTGTCGTGCGGGTGGCAAATCAGTTAAAGTATGACTATCCGAACTGACTGGATACCTGAGGTAGTAGTAGTTCCATTGAAAAACGCAAACAAGTCAAACGGTTAAGATTTTATTATGTCATACCTCGTATCTACATAGCATGGCTACTTAGTACTCTCCTTAGCTACTAATATAATCTAGGTAAGTAGTAATCGAACACCTCAAGTGCCAACTATCATGTCCAACTTGGTCGTCAATATGAAAATTCGTCTCCAAACTAGTTTTACATCAATTTTTTCCCCTTGCATGACTAGCTAGCTATTGTCAAGTATAGGTAAAGAGATTTCCAATTGCATTGCCAGACGGCCTAAAAGAGACATAACCCAAGACGGGGGCGAGAGTAGATGAACTGATGATAGAAAATGTAGCTATACTTTAATAGCGTGACATTCTGCAAACTTTGCCTGGATCATTTTCGCTCCTCCTCTCGTATCTGGTGAATAATTCGCTCTAATCTTGGGGTAAGGTCGGTTCCATCTCCGTGTCGTGTCTCGAACAATCGCGAATCTTTCTCAACCTTTCGATAATATTGTAGGAATTCCTCGGCCGTGGATAGTGCCGCTGCAAGTCCTTTGCCGTCTAGAGAAACCTTGACCTGGGCCAATGCCATGTGATTCAAACAAAGTGTAACTAGAAGAATTGACAAGTAACCGACAGCAACGTTATACTGCACCTCGGGAACGGAGTGTGCCTAAATTCTGCATTAGGCACTAAAATTGAATGTTCATAGTACTGCCTTACCTGGGGAACAGAACCGATGCTAGTAGAAAATTGTTGTAAGAGCAAACCCAGGGAAGACTCAGAATTACTTGTCGACTCCAGAAAAATAGCTCTCGATGATTCACTTTTCTCTGCAAGATTAATAAGAGCACCCAAAGCTAATATTACTGCATCCAGTGAGCTATTTTCTTTACCAATGGTTTCTTCAGGCACAGCGCAGAATTCCGAAATTATGACCTTGACAAGCCCGCCAACAATTTCAGTTCTGCAGCACTCCTCACAAAAAGATGAGTCCCTGTTGGTAAGGTTTAGTAGTACTCGAATGTATAGAATCAGAATCCGCCGGCTTTGGTCACACTGGTTCGGATAAAGAAATTTATAACACTGAGTAAGTGACCGTAAGGAGATGCAGCAGTCGGGATCCAATGGGCCCGATAGGATTGTGTAAGTTTCAAGGATCGACAAAGTCAGGATGAGCGTCAGATAACGTTCAAAGCGCAGAGGAAACTCTGCATTTTCACAAGCCTCGGGTGATAACAACTTAATAATGAGTGTTAAAAGGGGTGCAGGGATATTAACATTGGTGCCCTTCTCTTGATATACAGCTAGAGAAGATTGAAGATTCATAAGAATCAGCAAACGCGGTGAAATAGTTGAGATCGGCTGCTCTCCATATATCGCAAGGGATAACCGTGGTAGAAGACTCTTCAGAGTTGCTTGGACAGCCTTTGATAGGCCGATAGATCGCTGTTTCGCGGTAACTGATATATCGTCTTGGACGTCAAGTAGAGCGGGGGATTTATCCAAAAGTTTGGGCCAAATGGATGTTGGGAGTGTAGACGAGAAACAGCCGCTGGTACATATCAATCTATAAGCGCATAGAGCAAGAGTGATTGAAACTATATCAAAGCCACCACCTGTCATGCATTTCACGAGTCGTTCGTCAAACCCGGCCTCAGAGAAACGGTCCAAAACTCGAGGCTCCATAAGTTTGGTACACAGTTGAACAAAACCATTGCACACTTCCGAAGCGGAACTGTGAGGGTCCTCGATATCTTCGAAGATCAAATCTACTGTTTCCCAAAAGCGTGCATTGTCTCCAGCCTGTCTTAGCTCGTGAATGCTTCGAACCGGCCTGTTGTCGAGGCTTTCCTCGTCTTCAACATGCGGGTTGGTTTGAGATAGGAGTCCTGAATTTGGCCGTGGTTGCCTAAGGTTATGACATCTCGAGGAAACTAATAGGCCAGGTTCTTCAGTATGGCCTAACACAGAAGCATCATTTAGGAAGGAACGCTGGTGTGCATAAGTAACCCTAGACCTTCCAGATATCGAGGGTCTGGAATTAGTCGACTGTTGGATATTCTCTGTACCAGGAACCTTAGATCGATGTATATACGCAGTACGCTGTCGATCGTTTCCTTTCCAGATATGGCTAGAGGACGTCTGGCCGTCAGGCTGGCATTCACCATCTGACAGGCAATCTAGTGAAGCCTCTTCTGTTGAGTTTAATGAATCAACTAATCTCTTTCGGAGACTTGATTGTTTCGTTCGGTGTCTGGTTGCATCCATGCCACTGAGATATGATGTAGAAAGCCTGTCAGTCTTGAGAGAGAATCTGCTATCCCGAGGCGATTGAAGCATATAGGTCATTTCTGTAGAAGTCTGTTCAATTTTTTCGGGCTCAGCCTGAGCTTCCTTTGGAAGGCAACAACCATCACTTTGGTTTCGAGCTTTGTCCATATGGAGGGCCTCGTTGGCACTGACACAATCAGAACCTCCGGTTTCACCAAACATCATGGAACTTTCATGCGCAAATACCGGCCCAATTTGATTACCAGCACTCACACTGTGCTCCTGAATTTGCTGCGCCTTTTCCCCAAGGAGCTTTCTGCGCTTTGTTCCGGTGACATCATAGGCTTTCTCACGGCTATTCTGGGAACCTGATATGTGCGTGTCAGGAATATGACCAAGTGAGTCAACGCCATAGAGTTGCTTAAAATCACTCCCAGATGATCGAGTCAAGGTACTTGAACAGGGACAAGTGTTTGAGCCTTCAGCCTCACTAGAGATAATGGAAGTCGCTGAAATCTCATTTACCCTGTTCTTGGGATTGTGAGACTTAGGTGAGCTTGGTTTACCGTAAGTCACAAGTCTCTTAGTTTTCTCGCGCATCTTTCAAACACCACATGTATAGGCAAGGCCGGTATGTATGAGACTCTCGTGTGGATTGTTAAAGAAAACAGGTTCGGGAGGCTTGCGAGAACAGTGTATAAGCAGTAGGAATATTGGCGCCGAGTTGTTAGGTTTCAATTACGATATGCAAAAATAGATGGAGTTATTGGAATGAGCTTTTAAAGAAACTACTACACATTCGTGGATGTGGGTGCTCCATGGAGGTGTAGGTAGTAATAAATTGGTACAGTTGTGAACCAGTGACCAAGGTTGCAACCAACAAAACAGTTATAAAAAAAACTCCACAGCCTGATTTGATATTTAGTTGAACTCTCAGAGTGTAAGTATGGTGGTGATACAATATCAACTGTATATCCAGATCTCGTGCATCATAGCTGGTTTTTTAAGGTAACGTTGATGTAAATCAAATTTGCCGAAGTTCTCCAGATTGAGCGGGGAGCGCGGAGTCGCGGACGACACAATATTGAGTATAAATTAACTGGGCTAGGTCTTATGCTAAATTATATTCTACTAACTAGTCTTGTTGTTACCTTAGTAGAACCACCCATCTAGGCCGCGATAACTATATTTCTTTGCTGGTTTTATGTAGAGTATTTCGTAGTCCAATTAGAAAACCAGCCGCCATCATTAGTCCAAGCTACTATCGCACTTACGCGCTATCTGCGTCTGCTTGATCTCTCTCTCTTCCTGGCTACAACTTCATTACATAGTACTTCCACGCAAGTTTAGTAGACCCTCAGTGGGACCACTAGCCTTTTTTTTTCCGCCCTTCGCACCTCCATCCATCTATTAAGAACTATACCAAAATTTTCATTGACAATGTCTGATGAACGATTGGAAGCGGTCCCTTCTCCTGCCCAAGGAGTTGGCCCAATTTACAGACCTGATGGCGAGAAGCCAACAGCGACAGTGTCGAAAGACATTCCTTATGAAAATGTCCATGTCTTGCCTCAAACACCCCAGCTGATCGCTCTTCTGACGTAAGTCATACGTCTATAGAGAATTTTTAGGTCAACATGGGATACCCATACTAACAACTCCATAGTATGATCAGGGATAAGAGAACTGGACGTGCCGATTTCATATTCTATTCCAACAGAATCATCCGTTTATTGGTGGAAGAGGGTCTAAACCACCTTCCAGTGGTTGAGCAAGCGGTGACAACTCCTGTAGGCCGTACCTATCTCGGTGTCAAATTCGAAGGTAAAATATGCGGCGTATCTATCATGAGAGCAGGCGAAGCAATGGAGCAGGGCTTGAGAGATTGCTGTCGATCAGTTCGCATTGGGAAAATACTTATACAGAGAGATGAGGAAACATGCAAACCGAAGCTTTTTTACGAAAAGCTTCCTGCTGATATCTCCAGTCGATGGGTTTTACTCCTTGATCCAATGTTTGCAACTGGTGGGTCAAAAACCCTTCTTAGACTATAGAGTGATATTAATTGCTATCGATTCAGGGGGTTCGGCGACTCTCGCTGTCGAAATTCTCAAGGCGAAGGGTGTACCAGAAGACCGTATTCTATTCCTCAACCTTATCGCAAGCCCTTCAGGAGTCGCAGACTTTGCGGAGCGCTTCCCTAAGCTCAGGGTCGTAACTGCTTTTATTGACCAAGGCTTGGATGAGAAAAAGTTGATCCACTTCTATTCTCCCTTTTTCTGGATTACCTCGCTAACTGGTTGCTACAACACAGGTACATTATCCCTGGACTTGGTGATTTTGGTGATCGATACTATACACTGTGACGCCAATCACAGAATGGGGTCTAGTTTAGCATTGCTCATTAAGCATTACAAGTTTCCTCGAAATTGTTTTGGCGCGTATATGCATAATTTCAGTACAGTGTAGTCGTGTTGCGCATATTACTTCAAATCCTTAGCTGGAGTTATTGATTTATGAGGCATGGGTAACCACAAGATTTATACCATTATAATATCACTGCAGGCATCCATTATCCCTAGTATCGAAGCCAGCTAATTGCCAAAAAAAAATATTGAATAAGCGAGTCCGCAAAGGCAGGACAACGGTCATAACTTGGAAACAGCTACCACAGGAAAGCTACTGGACCTTTATATTGTGCGCCAACATCACATAACTGAAATTACTTGTATCAATCGTCATCCACTTATGCACCCGCACGATCTTCATCATCGTATTCAGCATCTTGCCCACTAGAAGACACAGTATACTCATTTGATCGCAGACCAGCGGCATTATTATCTTCGTATCTGTTGGCAGTATCCTTAGCAACTGCATCACAAGCATCTACCCAATCCGAATATACATCGACAGCAGCAGAAAGATCTAGTGCATGAATTTGTCAGAAATGGTACTAAGATTAGTACGTTTGTGAACTCACAATTAATACCGGTTTGAAACCTCTGCCCACACACCTTACAGGACAAATTTCCCAGCCCCAGCTTCTTGTCTAGTTTCACCACAATAGAATTCTCGTGGTTACAGAAAAGACATGCGAAAGTTGTGGGCAATGGTTCTCTCTAACTCCATTATTAGTCTCAATAATCATCGCCCGTTCCAGGGCTGCTCACCTTCTTTGGTCCTTGTGGTTGTCTACTTGACTTCTTCCGCTTGCCCTGTCACCGAATAAAGACTCAGTCATTGGACTATGATATTTCTTTCTCTTTTGGCTCCTTCTCTACATGTCCCGGGGCCACACTTCAGAGGGGCAACCTACCATGCTTCTTTCGAACGCTTCGTGGGTGCTTAAGAGCTTGTTTTCAGTGTAGGACAACTAAGATATCCACATATCTGATTAGTTGCAGCGTGTGTAGGTTTAGTTATGTACTTACTATTTTTCTAGCTGGTATCAATGCGTATCCCCACAAAAACAGGGGCAGTAGATTGGATACTGTAGCTTAGAGACCTAGGGTGATACTCTGTACGGGATTATAACACAGATAAGGAAATGAAGACCATGTATGTTATGGGGGCTTACAGCACTCCGCCCCTGTAATGCCGATTACATCACTCGCGTCCACACTGACATGGCACGGTTATAACAGTGTACTAGTAGGTAAAGAGCATCTATAGCTTAGTTCCCATGCAGCTCTAAATTATTAATAAGCCAGAGGCTTCCTCCGTATTCAACATACCTGTACTTAGCAGTGGATACGTGCTGGTAGAGAAAGGCATGTGTAGGAATACGACGAGATACTTCACCCCACACATCAGTCAATACTTCATATCAACCAACAACTGCCGTCCCGAATAAAGTTCCATTGTAGTACGCTTAATTGGAGATTTGCGAGAGCTCGAAAGGATCTATCATTACAATAGTTTTACTGCCTACAAAATAGGAAAAGGCGAAGACCATGCATAGAGGACATTATAACCTTGTTCTCCCTGTAGTACATGCTTATTATATCCAAGATACGGAGTATAAGATACAGATACGTATCCTCACGTGACTTGTGTATCGAAGCATCCAATCATACTGTCTTAATGGCCCCATTTGTGGGGGGCAATATTATATAATCTTGGATAGGGCCGGCACTCTCGCTTAGCCAAACTTTTCTGTGGGATTTTGATTTCAACTCTTATTCCGCCGACCAGCAGCGTCAATCCCATCGACTCCCTCCACCAGACCGTGTGGTGTGATATATTTGTCTGTCTTCGACCACTGCAAGATAGACCTGAGTCGCAGCTATGGCTGTTGGAAAGTATGCCAAATCTCACATCGACGTGACAATGCGGGACAACGACCTTGGTTGCTAATGTCTTCCAGGAACAAGCGCTTGTCCAAGGGCAAGAAGGGTATCAAGAAGAGGACCGTTGATCCTTTCTCCAGGAAGGATGAGTACTCTGTGAAGGTAGTTACAATTGGTGTAGTTCCGCGAACGTTGCTAATAGTGTACAGGCACCCTCCACTTTCCAGATCAGAGAGTATGTTCTTTCTACATAAATTCCAATCCCCTCTTTGAGAGAAGAACGGAGACCATATGTATCGGCAAACGACTGACAAGAAGCTCTAAAGTGTGGGAAAGACTCTGGTGAACCGCACCAGTGGTCTCAAAAATGCAAACGACTCGCTCAAGGGCCGGATTTTCGAGGTTTCCCTTGCCGACTTGCAGAACGACGAAGACCACGCTTTCCGTAAGGTTAAGCTTCGTGTGGATGAGATCCAAGGAAAGAACTGTTTGACCAACTTCCACGGCCTCGACTTCACTACTGATAAACTGCGATCCCTGGTCCGCAAGTGGCAGTCGCTCATCGAAGCCAACGTCACCGTGAAGACGACCGACGACTACCTCCTTCGTCTGTTTGCCATCGCTTTCACCAAGAGGCGTCCCAACCAGATCAAGAAGACCACATACGCCCGCTCCTCTCAGATCCGTGCCATTCGCAAGAAGATGACCGAGATCATGCAGCGGGAGGCCGCCAGCTGCACTCTTTCTCAACTCACCACGAAGCTTATCCCTGAGGTTATTGGCCGCGAGATTGAGAAGGCGACGCAAGGAATCTATCCTCTTCAGAATGTTTGTGGTGTCTCCTATCCTCCGGTTTGAATCGGAAACTAAGATGCTCCCAGGTCCACATCCGCAAGGTTAAGCTTCTCAAGGCCCCTAAGTTTGATCTGGGCGCTTTGCTGAACCTACATGGCGAATCTACCACCGACGACAAGGGTCACAAGGTTGAGAGGGAGTTCAAGGAGCAGGTTCTTGAGAGCGTCTAGATCTTCCATTGATCACCGTGGGAAGTAAAGGCAAAATCCTCTCTAGAATCAAAACTGTCGCTGCCTCTTGATCGAAGATAGAAGAAGGAGGGGGAATATTCCAACTTATGTCTCCGATCAACGACAACGAAGGTCGTTCATGTGTAAGGTAGGCGGCGTCGGTAATTCAAAAAGACTATGAATTGATTTCGTTATGTGAATGCAAACAAATAGAACCGGCCCAGTTGTTGCATATTTCACTTGACCTAGCTGTCAAATGCTGTAGTTTAATAGTCTGTGTGCCAGTATGTGTGTATCCCCTTACATATCCCCTTGCAGGGAAGTTGTCTTGCCATTTAATGTGGTCTTTGTCAAAGCATATCCAACTGGTCACTGCCATTACATAGGGCCTACTCATTGAGTTTTGATATCTTTAGGTGGCTAGTTGTAACACACATCTTAAATACACTCCACTTCTAGTATTTATTGTTGTCTGGCTTTGTCCTTTGGGCTAGTGAGCATAGATTACTTGGAGGGCTTGTAGTAAGCTAACAGGCAGATGTACGGGTGCTGAATATTGATTCGATCAGCTGCAGGACCTACTTACTGTTGGACTGTCATTGGTAAATACATGGGTGGGTTGAAAATCTGTCTTGAGGACTGAAGTTTAAGTGGCTTGAGTTAGTTATAGTTATGGTTATGGTACCTGGTGTTACAGCACGTAGTGTTTTGTGCAACTGGTTGCTGCGAACACCTGTGGGGCGGCTCATCTCTACCAGACAGCTAGCTATCTTAGAGAGAAATTAATATTAAGACAATACCTCTAGATCTATCTTTAATAATTAATATATATCCTTAGTATGAAAGATCACTGAATTATCTAGGAAACTTATAAATATTTTTTTTAAATTATATTACTAAGTCTTATGTTGTGGTTCTGCTGTAAAGCAGTAAGGCCATTTATCGGCTGCTTTGTTGTGCCTAAGCACCGAGAGTAGTTGATGATGAAGTTGTTCTCTTATTGTTGGTCTACTACTGGCCGATAAGCGGCTTGTTTACCGCCTTCGGCAGAATAACCATAACATGCTTTCCCTATATTAATCAAAAACAACTTTATCAATTACTTTCTATTAAAAGGGTATAGTAAATAGTAATCCCAGAGAGACTGTGCTATTACTTTTCTTGTAATTTTATCTAGTTTTATTAATATTTATTAATTTATTAAGATAGACTTTATATAAAGTTATTATTATATTATGTAGAAGTAAGTTGTTCCCCTTTATTAAATATACTGTAATAGATAGTTAACTATAGTAGAATAGAGATATATAATATTAGCTTATTATCAGTAAAATCTAATACTTTTATAA